ACCACCGAGATTTTTTCATGACTCCCAGGACCCCATAATATTTACAAAAATTTTTTGGGACCCCATAAGCATTGCACAAATTCAACACACACATGAGTGAAACCATCAATTTGTTCACTTGTACTGTAATATACTATTGCAGTTTTAGATCGTTAACTTCAATTTCTAATTTTAAGACATAGAACAATGTGAAAATTTTAAATAAGTAACAGATGAAATGACAGTGTCTCTTGCAAAGCAAGAAAAGCTAACGTTTAATATTATAAAAAGAATGCATCGAAACGTTTTCATTTTTTTCTCTTTGTCTGTATTGTCTTATCTTTATCTATTTTCAGATACACTGTGTAAAAACATTTAGTAATTGTAAAATTTATTATAATAAGTTAAAGAAATATCAAAACTGCTAAAACTTTTGGCGACCCACAGCTGCAGGTCCCGCAGCCCCCAGGGTGTCGCAACCCACAGTTTAGGAAACCCTGATATACATGATGCAAAATGAGGATACAAGAAGTTTGTTTAAAACTATGCAAAAAAGATATTTAATTTCACTTCTTCACCAAAACGTTGGACAGTACATTTGGAGAATAAATCAGAATTAACAGTGGAGTAACTATTAGATATCTAATTAGAATTAAAGCAATGAAATTAAAACAAGTGAAGTTATGTGATATCAACTAGGAAAAATTTCTGATAGCATACATAAAATTATGAAACATGACAATTTTAATGAAGTAGAATTAAAACTTGACTATCTAGAAAGCTTGAGAAATGCTCAACGCCAAGATACGTGTGGATGGAAAATTGCAGATAGCACAGCATAGAAAAATGCAATTCATGGTAGAAAAGCAGAACAAATGGAAGAAATTTTCAAGCTAAAATTATAAAAGAAATCATCTTATTTGTTATCAACTTGAATATCAAAAGCCGACACTTAAAATTCTGAAAGATTTTGGGAGGGGAATGCATTTCAGACATAAAAGCCAACTTATTTTGTAAATTACAGCTTTAAATATTGGAAAACACATCCTGATGACCACTAGAGTTTGCAGAGATGTAGCCAAAACTGCATGAAACATTTTTACAGAAGTTTAAAGGGAAATATTTTTCTTTCTTTAACTAGGTAATTAACAGTTACGGATATAGTATACAAGCCAATTTATTCTGTAGGCTATATATGACAGTAAAAAATTCAATTATGAAATCCCATTGACCATTAAAGTTCGCAGAAGTATAAAGGAAAAAATTGTTCGTTCTTTAGGTAGGTAATGAACAATTACAGATATAGCATACAAAAGATATAAATCGCTAATCCTATTTTTTCATGTTACATTACTATTTTTCATCCATTTTCAAATAAAGCCGCAAATTGTGACCATCAACACACACTTTTCTTGATGCCAGAATCCCTTAACTTTGAAAATACTCTGCTGTATGCTTACTTCCAAGAATACAGATCCCAAAATTTAATCACTAAGTAAAGACAACACGGATAAATAGCAGTTAACTTGTATCCTTCTTTACAAAAACTGAACTGGCTTATCAAGAATTACATTTACCTAAAACCAAAGCAAAGATCATGCTATAATATCATGCTTATCGATCACTAGTGGAAACTGTTTGGTGACAGTGTCTTATACATTATTAATCTTTATTTTGCTAATTTTTTTTGGGGGGGAAGGTTTCTAAAATTCTAAAATATTCCAGTTACCTGAGTTTTCAGAATTAGTTGAATGCTGGATAGCCATGCTTTTATTGTAATGTAACATGAAACACAAAATTTAAGTACTACTGCATACATACAGGTTCTTGATAGATTGAATGCACTCAGAATTGATGACAGCTTGATAAAATTTATTTTACCAAAAGAAATCCTTCACAGTTCTGGAACTTTCCACAAAAATACTCATACAACTCTTCACAGTATCACTGAGTACAATCAGTAATAACATTTCAAATTACTAAGAACATTAAACACAATGCTATGGAAAACGCATCTAAAAGGCGAAGCTCTCATGGACATCTCAATACTCCACATTCACACTGAACTAATAACTGAGAGCAGATGCTCTCTCTGGTCTTTTATAGTTTTCACCTGGCCGCCGAGAAATCTCTAGTACTTCTTACTTCTCAAAATTACTAAAAGGCATATAAAGTTACATCTTAGGGCCAGATATGGTTACATTTGCATATAGTGATCAATTACCTTACCCATTACAGTTATACACGAACCGAACCCAAATGTCGTTAAATGGTCGTCACCGCTTATTATGTCATAATATTTTTTGTCATTTGGTATATATTGGTTATGTCAGAGCTTTCAAAACAAAAATTTTTGTACCTTAGTTTTAATATTGTTAAAATTTAGTTTCATATGTTGAAAATAGACATTATTATTAAAGAAAAGAACCCAAATTTACTTCTTTATACTTGTTGATTTTAAAATATGTTTAACAGTAAATTCTTTCAAGTATTAAATTGTTATTTGAAGTACTCATAATTTTTGGTACTTACTATTTTCTTGGCAAAAATTTTTGATAAATAAAAACTGTTGCCAAACGGTGTGATTAAGCACCAATAAATGATAATCATGATGTCACAACCACGATCTTCACCCAGTTTTTATGTAACATGGATCAGTTTTTATATGTCATACCTGTAACTTACATGTTCATTATTTAATCAAGTTAGGCTGATTACTGTTCATTATTTAACTAAGCAAAGAGTGATATTCTCCTTCCTAGCTTCTGCCAGAATAACTGAAACAGATTTGGCAGGTTTTCCGCCAACTTTTACAACCAACAACAAATACATATGCAAATTTGTTTTTTAATTACATTCATCATTATTTTACATTCAAATTACTATTTAAAAATTAACAAAATTTGGGGGTCCCCCCATTTTCTTCATAAGTAGGAAAAATAACGCATTATCATTTTATTGAATTCAACAGAATGAATAAATCAGGAGTTCTCCAACCGGGGGGGGAAATTCACCTGGGGGGATTACACAGTTTCATGGGAGGAATTTGCTCAGTACTTTATTTAGCTGTTAAGTATGGCGTTTTAATTTATGAATACAAAAAGCTACTTTTATTCAAGTTACGGTATTTATTAACATTTTCTATACCTTTTGTTGTCTGACTTATAAAACATATTAAAACTAATCTAATTAAGTGCATAAATGTAATTTTTTAATTCTGAAGAGGAGGGAATGATCTTTAAGTGTATGGTGAAATAGGTGCATGATGCAAAATACGAGGGCTATCCAGAAAGTAGACTACGTTTTGGAATAAAAAAATAAACAAAGTATAGGAAACAAATTTTATTATATACAGATGAAAGCCACACTCAAATACTACTTTTCTACATAGTCCCATACAAATTAAGGCATTTATCGTAGCGATGTACGAGCTTGGAAATTCCTTCGTCGAAAAATTCGGCGCCTGCGCCTTCAACCACTTCGTTACCTCTTCTTGCAGCTGTGCATCGTCATCAAAACGCTGCATAGCCAGCCACTTCTTCATTGCTGGGAATAGGTGGAAGTCGCTCGGTTGCCAGGTCGGGACTGTACGGCGGATGAGGAAAACAACTCCCACTTAAAAGATTCAAGAACTTACGAGTGACATTTGCCGTGTGGGGCCAGGCGTTGTCGTGAATCAACAAGATCTTAGAGCTCAACATTCCTCTGCGCTTGTTTTGAATTGCTCTTCTGAGTTTTTTGGAGAGTTTGGCAATACCTTTGAGAGTTTATTGTAGTGCCTCTTTCCAGGAAGTCCACCAAAATTACACCTTTTCTGTCCCAAAAAACAGTCGCCTCATCTTCCTTGCCGACATTGTTTGCATGCATTTCTTGGGTTTTTGGGGAGAACTTGTGTGCCCCCACTGCATTGATTGCAATTTCGTTTCACAGTTCACATGTTTCACCCATGTTTCGTCACCAGTAACGATTGCGATCGAGTAAAGAGTCACCATCCTTATGGTAAGCGTCCAAAAAGTTCAACGCTGCAGCCATTCGCTGATTTTGTGGTCCTCTGTCAAGATTTTTGGAATCCAATCTTGCACAAAAACTTGTGGTAACCAAGCTTTTCGCTGATGATTTCGTGCAACAAACTTCGCGAAATTTGTGGAAAACTCAAAGAAAGTTCCGTTATTGTGAAATTTCGATTTTCACGGACTTTAGCATCGACTTTTTCGAGAAGTTCGGCGGTCACTATGCTGGGTCTCCCACTTCGATCTTCGTCGTCGTGAACATTGGTTCGGCCATTTTGAAATCTTATGACCCACTGACGCACTCCACCTTCAGTGATAATGTTGTCCCCATACACTTCACGAAGCTGCCGATAGATTTCTATCGGTTTACAGTTTTTGCAGTCAGGAAACCTTATTACTGAGCGCACCTCGCAGCTCGCGGGATTTTCAATTAACGCAGACATTTCAAACCGTCACAGTATCTGAACGGAGCACAGCACGAACCTCTCACTAGCACGGCTAGATGCAGACTGAGCTGCGCAACGCTCTGACCCCAAGATGACCGCGCTAGCCCCGCCCCTAGCGGACACAGATGGAAACGTAATCTACTTCCTGGATGGCCCTCGTAGTTTGGGAACCCCTGGACTAAATTATGTCATTGGCTAAAGTTTATATCTTTTAATTATAAAATTATTATTTTCTGGCAATAATAACAATGAACATTGTATTTATTTAAGCCTGATTTTAAAATAATGGTATCAAATATAAAAATTCAATCTGTCAAATAAGATACAGGGAAAAAATCTTTAAAGGTATACATTTAAGCTCTAAAATCTAAGTTTTCTTTTTAACATTGTTATGTTATTTTTCTTTTTAATATTGTTATGTTATTATTTAATGCAACAATCTAGTCATGACAGATATTAATTTAATACCAACACGAAATTATTTCCAGAAAAATAATCAGCAACACTTTTCTTTATATTAAATTGTTCAAATAAATTATTTTCACAGCAATATGGAATTACAAACCTGTGTTAGCCCATTAGAAACAGACCACTCATTTCCGCTGCTGTCAAATTTCAAGTAAGCTTTGAGAACTAAAACTGCAATTTCTTGATGCAATTCAAGAGGCAATACGAGTTCCCCCTGTAATTTTAAGAAATACTTAAACTTCATCAATGGTTACAAAATCCAAAATTTCAAACTAAAAAAAGAAAAAAAAAAACTACAATGTAAGAAGTTTATAACAAAGAAATAAATTTATATGAATGTATACTATATTCACTTTTCTTATTTAGCTCTTTTGAGCAAGCCAGAATGCCTCCAAGGGACTTGTTTAATGATCTTTTAGACTTTTCTATGTCTTTGCTTGTGTGCCAGATTACTATATTGTCTGCATAATTAGCAACTGTAGTGTCCCCTTCCAGGAGTTGGTGAATATTATCAACATACAAAAGGAATGGGCTGAGAACTGAGCCCTGAGGGACACCCACGTTCTTCTGTCTTTAGAGAAGACTTCATTATACCTTATATATAAACTTTCAAAAAGTCTGCAATCCAAATTATGGCATTACGTCTTATATCATGTTCATAAACGATTTCATTAAGTTCTTGTCACCATACAGTATAGAATGTTGATGTCCTATCCAGGAAGACAGCAGTGGTCTTTTCTGAAGGTGTTACTCGAAAGCCATCAATAACCGATTGACACAGGTAGAAAAGTTGATCTCCTGTGATATGATGTTTTCTGTATGCAGTTTGATAGAAATTCTTTACAAGTTCACCCATGATTCATGAATGTATAATACAGTTAAAAGTCATTAATTCGGACACCCATAATCCGGACCTCAAAGCTAAAATCTTTCTGCGCATGCGCCGCGCTGACGCATGCTCATAGGCGTTTTACGCGTGCGCGTAAGTCATTTACGACAGCGCATATGCGTCTGCGAAAGCGCAGAAAACGTTTTCGCATGCGCGTTTAATGTATAATGGACGGTATGAGCTAAAATGATCTAATTATCTATTTCAGTTAATGTTGATGATTGCGTTGTTCCTTAATCTTCGAATTGGATCAGGCTTATTGTTTTTTGCAGACTGTTAGAGCAATTTTATAAAAGTAAGCTTGACTTTTTCGATTATGTCAAATAAAATTTCCGATGCTGAGTCCAAGGATCTAAAAATCGAAAGTATGTTTCGATGTCCATCAAACAAAAAATGAATTGCTACAAAAAATGGATAAAGGTATCCTTTGTTTATCTAACCGTTTCGAAATCTGTTTATCAATTTCACACTGCTTTCACACGCCGAAGGGGGGATACGTCGCAGTGCGGTGCGCAATGAACTGGAAGTTGATCTGTCAGCACTATTGTTATCTTCAGGGCAGATGTTTTTATTTTATTCGGCTTATAATTCCTTACTAAATGTAGTATTAATCTTTAATCTCGATGTACCGTCTTTGATATGATTTAATCAAATCCTCGTCATTATAAATATCATGAAAACAAATCAAATAGTTTTCTGGTTGCAATTTTTCTAATTTCGGCTATACGTAAGGTACGCATGCGCGCATTGAAAGAAATGTTTAATAAGTAAACAAATAAATATTAAGCTTCTTTTTTTGTAAATTGATACCCTTTAGATCATAATGCTCATTATTTATAAATTACGGTTTCATATTTTAATTTTATAATTTCTGCATGCCATCTTACCAGATTTAAACTGATGATCTATAATCCGGAAAAATCGATAATCCGGAATCAGCGAAGTCCCGACGAGTACGGATTAAAGACTTTTAACTGTATATTACTTTAATTTTACAAAGAACACTAGTGAATGCAATGAGCCTGTACTGTTTACTCTCAATGGCCGGTTTCCCAGGCTTAAGCAGGGGGACAACAACAGATGTTTTCCCATTTCCCATGTTGTGTTAACTATATCCAGTAGACATTTAGAACGATCTCACCCAGATGTTTATGCATTTCACCAAAAATGAGATCGCTACAGGGGATTTCTTATCATTAGTATGCTTAATTGCTGCCCCAAGTTCTTGGCAGGAAATAGCTGGAGTATAGGAGTCATCAATTGAATATCTTCTAGCTGCTAAAAGTAATTTCCTAACTGCTGCGTTCGTTATTTTGTTTTCTCTCTGGAACTCCAATGTACAATTTACTAATGTTTGAGTATTGCATTGCCAGCACATTTGCCACTGCTTTATTTTTGTCTGCTGATGAGGCAATAATATTTGAGCTCTGGGCAGTTGGAAGAGTATTTATTTAGGGCACTAAGAATCCTCCAATGTTTTGCATTTATTTTCAGAGATTGTAGAATTCTGCCCATTTTAAACGTTTGCCTTTCATCATTTCCCTCTCAACTTTCCTAGTAGCCTCATCAGGGAATCAATGTTAAAATCTTTCCAATATCTAGTAACCATTCACTTTTCTATTTACCTCTAGGCCGCTTTAGTAATATTTTTTGTGAGAGTTGAAATTTAGAAATCCAGGAAGTTCCTCATCCTTAAATCCTCAAGATCCTCATCCTTAAATCGAGATTCATTCTTACACAGATTTTTCCAAATATTGTGTAAAAATAGTCCAATTTGCCTTTCTGAAGTTCCATAATCTCCTTTCTCGATCTGCCACTTCCACCTGCATATTAAGGGTGGTGAGAATAAGACAGTGATTATTCACTGCACTATCTAAAATTCTCTAGTTACAAAGGTGCGATACCTGGTAACTGACGGCTACGAGGTCCAGAGCTTATTATGTGCCAATTGATCTTGATAGATACATATTTTGTTTATCATTAATAACGGTCAGTCCTAAATTCATCAGAATGTTTTCCATCACTTGAACATTTGCATCCATGACATGTGATCCCCAAGTGGGGCTCTTTGCATTAAGGCTTCCAAGCAGAATGACATGGTCTGAATGGGTGTTACCTATTTCACTAAATGAATATACGCTGATGGTAGTGGTATCATAATGATAAGCATTTAACCAGGATAAAAGAATGCTCAAGAGTGAACACTTCCAGGGCTCGGACTTTTGAGTTGCCAATATCTTGGCCTACAGGAATCATTTTATATTTGACCACTGAGTCTAATTAGAAATGCGAGTCCACCTCCACATTTATCCAGCAAATCTCTTTTAGTCATTGTGTAACCTTTAATGTTAAATTGAATCTTTTTATTTATTCGATTAATGTTCAATTGTAAGATGACTGTCTATGTAGCATATTTCCCATCTTGTTCCTGGACTGCAGAACCAGATTTGTCAGCTACTCCAGTCACAGTAGCTTGACCTAGATCCTTAAAATGACCTCTCGTGGAAAAATGGTTGTCACTGCCTCAAGAGGTTGGACTTCTGCATGTTGGTCCATATTCACTTTTAAATCTTAATAAAATAACGTATGCAGCATATCAACAAATAAACATCACAAATTTTTAAGTTCCCTTTTCTCATTTCTCTGATTTTTAACAGCTCTTTTATATTTTATTTTAAACATCAATTATCGCATCTTCCTTTGATCTTTTTATATATATACAAATTATAAATTTCTCAATAAAGTCATCACCAATGAGAATAACGCAATTAGACAGGAATTATAGGTAATGAAAGCTGCAACATTAGATGCTTACCATAAAAATGTCTCAGATTATGGTAAATTATGAGACATGTGTATGATATAAAGCATTCAATAACATAATTTCCATGACTAATAATCAGTATTGTAGCTAGAATTGAATTTTTAGGGAGGGTAGAGACTGTGGCTTTTATTTAAAAATGATGTTTTTGTAATTGCATTCTATTTATAAATTGAAATTTCAGTTTTGGAGGAGGGCTGCACCTTCCTCCTAAATAACACCATGCTAATAATTATCAATTAATCCACTTTTAGATGCTTTATACCATACACATTTCAGTTCAAGAAATCACAGTAAGTTCTTCCAGATGGAAACAATATTTATAATCAAAACTTAGACAAGCAAATCACAAAAGTTACACTACTTTTCCATTATGCACCTGCCACACTTCTGCAACTGTGAAAGAGAAGCTAAAAACCAGGTTTCTTAATTTAAAAAAAGTTTCTGGTTATAATAGTTTACAGATGGCAACATATTTACTTCTAGTTACAATTATTGGATCTCAGCGTATGTCTGGCTTCTCTTTCGCAGGTGATGAAAAGTATGACAGCTGCATAACAGAAAAATACCAAAATTATTTATAGTATCAAAAGATTTTGTATTTAATATTTTGAAAAAAAAGAGATAGAGACCAAATCATGTTAATTATGAATAAAAAATTACACAGCAATAATTCAATTAGGAAACAAACTCTCCTGGAGAACTACTGGTATAGCTCCAATGTTACTGATGCATCATGCCAATTATTCTTTGACAAATTTATACACACATTCAAAAACCAATCCAAGGTCAATAATGACATAATCGAGTGCTTGAAAATGTTCTTGTAATTCCTTAAATATATGCTAAAACTGACTTAAAAAGGGGAGGAAAACTTTGAAATATTGCAGAACATATACTTTTAAGTTGAGATATATCAAACTCAAAATTTTACACATACTAATAAAAAAAATAATTCCAAATTCCTGCTGATAGAATATTAAAAAAATCTTCTAAATCTGTCTGAAATGCAACCTAAAAATCATAAAAAAATATAAAAATAACCAACTCGTATTATTAATTTCGAAGTCAAACAACAAAAATCAGCATTATATTTGCAAAAATCAGTGTTATATTTGTGTTGTTTGATATCTAAATTAATATTTGTCCGACATGTTATTTTATCTTAACTCGTTTAAACTCATGCTTTACCTTAGTACAAAAGAAATGGTAACTCTACTACTTACTTCTGAATTAAAACCCCAGTTCATCTTTGTAAGGGTTATACGAGCAATATAACTCTTTCTGTCTGAGAAATCATCAGAAAGTAACCACGAAGACAATATACTAATATCTTTACTCTCAGGCCTCCAATTCACAAGAGAGATTCCTCTAACCAAGTCTATTGTAAGCTGTAAGATTTAATAAGATTTTGATTATTATAAAAATAATAAAAATCAAAAAAGCAATGTCAAAATTACAAATCATAAAAAAGAACAGTTATAAGACAAAGCAAGTTAAAATACAGAAAACAATAATACAGAGAGAGATACATTTATGCAGAGAAATAGATCACATCCTCCTAAAAAAGTAACTTTTTTAATGCACTTCTGCAAGAAGTAATATAATCAATTAACAAGTTCAATTCCTTTACCAATGCTGCACTATTTATAAACTATGTTTACGTGTTAAGAATAAAACCTATTTACATCCAACATTCATTTCAAAAATTTCAACACAGGAAAAAGCAAAAATTTTAGAATTTAGATCTTATATAAACAAATCATTATGTTTACTGCCTTTTTCTATTTATTTAACTGATTAACAGTTTTCTCCATATGTCAAATGGGCAATGCATTTCTGCAAAATATGATTTTCTTGTATTTGTTACAGGCATCTCATTCCTAAAGATAGTTTTTGATTATCTCATTTACTTTATTTTAGTTCATTTTCCTGTTTCTATATAGTGTTACCTGATCATAAAAGAAGCTTGTAAGTCCCCCCCCCTGGTCTTCACTGTTGAATCTGCAGTGAAACATCTACAGTACAAAGTCTTTAATGCAGACGTCCATAATCCGGACATCAAAGCTACAAACTTTCTGCACATGCATAATCGCATTATGCGTTTACGCATGCGCATAACATGTTTGCAAATGCATGTTTAATGTATAACGGACGGTATAAGCTAGGCTAAAATTATATAATTATCTATTTCAGTTAATGTTGCAGACTGTGTTGTTCCTTAATCTTCTAATTGGATCCGGTTATTATTTTTTGAAGACTGTAGAGCAATTTATAAAAAGTAAGCTTGAACTTTCGATTATGTCAAAAGAGTTCCGATCTGGAGGTGCCAAAAGATCACAAAGCGAAAGCATGTTCGATGTACCGCTTCCGATAGTGAAGAAAGTGACAGAGAGGTTATTTAAAACGAAAAAATTTCAATTGACAAGTTGGTATTCTCGACACAGCAATTACAGGACTTGAACAGTGGCACTTTGTAACTAAACAAGAAATTATGTCTGTTTATAGAATTAAAGAGAAAGTACTAGCACAAAAAAGAAAGCAGCTTAAACAACTTACATTGAAAAAAATGTTTAATAAGTACACAAATAAATATTAAGCTTTTTTTTGTGTAAATTTTGATACCCTTTAGATCATAATTGCTCTTTATTTCATAAATTATGGTTTCATATTTTTAATTTTATAATTTCTGCATGCCATCTTACCAGATTTAAATTGATGATCCATAATCCGGAAAAACCCCTAATCTGGAATCACCGAAGTCCTGATGAGTCTGGATTAAAGACTTTGTACTTTCTTTTGACACATTATGTTGCATACACTAAATGTTCCTTTAACCCTCCATGCAGTCAACTGTATATATAACATTAAAATATACTGATCATGATACACTTAAGTTCTTACACATGAATCTTGAAATGTGCTCAGACAATCAAGATAACATGTAGTGCTTCTAAAAAAAAAAAAAAAGACCAAACTTTTGCTGTTTTATTTTTATTACTATTTATACAGACTTTGAACCACTATTTCCTTCAAGGTACTCCGCTCTAGTGTCAATACACCATTACTATGGTTTCACTTTCACTCCTGCAAGAAATCACTTTTTTTCGATCATGTGCAGAACTCTCACTGCATTTTTCTGTATTTCCTCTAAGGAGTAAGAACAATTTCCTTTCAAAGGGGGTTTTTTAAATATGGGAAAAAGAAAAAAATGTGCCAGGGCCAAGTCCCAGAGAACAGGGTGTGTGGTGCACAACAGAAGAGTGATGTTTTGCCAGATAATTGGTAGCATGGAGCAATGTTTGTGCTGGAGAGTTATCATGCTGCAGCTTCCATGACCGATTCTCCCATATTTTAGGTCTCTTCCTACACACAACATCTCTCGCACTTTCTTGTTTATTGTCTCACGGTACAATTCATAGTGCACTCTGAATATGTTGATGGTTTGTTAATATAAAAAGACTGTTTAGTCCTGTATCTTCTATCATCCTTAAAACATTGAAATCAATACATTTAGCTCATGCAGTCATCTTTGAATACTCGGTTAAGCAATTTGTAGAATTCTCCACTGTGTAATTATAAGTTACAGTTGAAAATGAAGAACCTTAAGAATTAGTAAGAGAATAATCGCTTGAGTTCGGGAGAAAATAAATAAACTTGGAAAGGGCTAAAAGACCCTTTATTATTCAAATAAGATTTAACAGAACTCCCTTGGAGTTGTACAATAAAGCCGACACTTGGGCTTCAACTTAAAAAACTAAGAATTAAACTAATCTTAACTAAAGAGATATAACCGAAGCTATCAAAATTCTAACAGAGTTGGCCCCTTAATGCTAATTGACTGCAAAGCTATCACGGGCCTAAAGTACGACCAAGTGTACTAGTAGCTTACAAGAGAGTAGCCTAAAAAGGCGGATGCGTGCAGCCAGAATATCTGGTATCTCTCTCTCTCTAAGACAGTAGAACTTCGTGGTTAAATACCGCTCTTCCTCATTAGCATTCAGACGTGATTCTAAAACTATGTTCTGGTCGGAAGTGGTAAGTTGAAATTAAAAAGCGATAGGAAAGGAAGTTTAATTCAAAATTTAACCATTAATAAAATTAACATAATCCTTACAAATTGAAGTGTTTCTGTAAACGTTTTCCCAGTTTTACATAAATTTCACACAAATCCTTGTCCCTCCTGCTCCTTCCTTTTTGTTTTTCCAATAATCTGAGGAGATCCTTATGCATGATCTCACTGAACTGGTAGTTACTCAACAACTAGCGTACAGACTAGAACCCACTAAAAAGTGATATGTTGTCACAATATGCCTCAGGATATGCAAGATGGAAGAAGTATGTTACCTGCAGCCACTGGCCCTTAAATTAAAAAGCATGGTCTGTAATTTTTTTTAAACATAGCTTGTATGAGTGTGACATACACACAAAAAAAGAGACTAAGTGTGTAGCTTGAAAACAGAGTGGAATTGGCAACAACAATTTTGGTGGCGTCACGCCACACACCTCCTCTATCCATGCGGCCAGTTTTGCCTTAACCAATCACGCCAGTGAGGAGTACTGCTTTATTGAGTAAACATACGCAACTGCATTCTGCCGGAAAAATGTCTAATGTAAAAACCAAACAACGAATCAACATCAAGTTTCTTGTGAAACTTGGGAAATCAGCCATGGAGGAAACATTTAAAACATTAACCAAGGCTTATGAAGATGAAACTTTGTCTCATACATGCGTGTTTGAATGGCATAAGCATTTTTCAGATTAGTAAGAAGTCCAGTTAATTAGAAGATGATGGGTGCTCAGCACGATCATCATGTTTGAGTGGATTCTCAGTGGTCAGACTGTTAATCACTGCTACTACATTGAAGTACTAAAAAGACTTGGTGAAAAATTAGGAGAACACAGTTGTAGAGTAATGGATGATTGTTGCACCAGGACAATGCACCTGCTCACACAGCCCTGTTTGTCAAGCAGTTCCTGACCAGCAAAAACATTACTGTGATGGGGGCATCCTCCTTATTCACCTGATCTGGCTCCATGCAACCTTTTTTTTTTTTATTTCCTTAAGTTGAATCTTAATTAAAGGGAACCCATTTTACCTCAGCTGAAGAGGTTAACACAAAAACGGAGAATCTCCTGAAGGGCCCTCCAAAAACCTTGTTCCAGAACTTTTATCAGCAATGGCAGCACCGAATGTAGCACTGTGTGAATGCTGAAAGGAACTACAGGGTATGGCAGTGTTCATAGCGTAATTTTACTTGCGTAGTACAATGACATACTGCATGAATGCGCGCCAGCTTGTGCCGCTCGTGCTCATCCTGGTTGTACTAATGAGCTGCCATTTCAAGTGTGACAGTGATATGGATCGGTGGAGTGCACAGCATCATGTCTTTGCTGTTGAAAGTTATTTTAAAAATGAATAACTACTCTGTTATTGCTACCCATCGTCTATTTCGGCAACATTTCAACTTGGGAAGTCATGGGAAAGTTCCAGATGGACAGACCATTGCGACAGACATTTCCTGTTTTGGTGACATTTCCTAGCTGCCTCGCTCACCTATCTTTCATGTGCAGATTTTTTTTCTTTTGGGGCCATGTGAAGCAAGAAGTTTTCCGAACACGTTGTACCGCCATTCCTGAGTTGAAGGATAGCATCAGAACTGCCATCGGCAATGTCCCAGGAAATATGTTATGCCGAGTTATGGCAAGCATCCAAAGCTGCCTAGATGAATGTGTTGTGCAGAGGGGACATCATTTGACAGGCATCATAGTCAAAAAGTATTCGACACAATGGCCAATGACTTACACATTAGTAAATGACATATCTTTAACTATTAATTGACATAAGAGGTAATAAATAAATTACAGTTACTCCCTTATGGTGTGTTTTTAATATCCTACTATGAACACTACTGGACCTTGTACTTTGAAGGTGATAATGTGATGGAGAACTGATTCTGTAAGTAAAATGATTTATTGGACTAGTCTCATGGGTTTTTTTTGGGGGGGGGTGTCACAGCTTGCATATAACTGAAAAGCAGTCACGGTACAAATTGGGAAGACCATTTTTGGATTATGATCAAGATACCTCTTAGTTATGAGCTTTGGGAACACTTGGAGGACTGATAAAGTTTTATAACAAATAATTAAACTTTCAAAATCTTATTAGTAAAATGATATAGCATAGTTAAGACACAATAACACGCCGAATAAATACTAATTCAGAAGTCAAACAACAAAAATCAGCGTTATATTTACAAAATTTTCACAGGACTAGTTTCGATGGTTTTACCGAACCACCATCTTCAGCTGCAAAACCGCAAATGAACAAGATAGGAAATAATGATTAGATAAGATAAGGAAGCCTGGATAAGAATAAGCAAGTGGCGC